ATGTTTATCAGATTAATGGAACCTTTGCTCCAGAAAAGAAAAAAAAAAGATATTTTAATTCGTAAAAGTTATGGCAAAGAAGGAAGACTGTGGGAGCACTTTTCACCACCGATCCTCTCATAAAGAGCACCAGCACAAGGCACAGGTAGTTTGATTGGCTTTCTTAGCATAGCCACTTTGCTTGGTTTCGTACCTTCCTCCTTAAACTATTCATTGGGGTTGGAGGTATCCGAAGACAGGTCGATCACACCAAGGGGAGCATATTATATGAATCTGTGACTTGTCCGTAGTGGATGATGTTTTGATTCGCTCGATCAGGGACCACCATTTTCGTCGGATATTGGAATCCAGAGAGAAGCTGCAGGGGGTGGAGGAGGATCGATGGTGTTCTCTCTGTCTCTCTCTTCTCGGGATTAGGGTTAGGGTTTTAGTTGGAGGGCAATGACTCGGGGTGGTCAATTTCCTGTGGTTGGTTGGGGCCGCCCGAGTTTAAGGGGGTGGGGTGGGGTGGGGAATAGTCCCGAGGAGGAAGAGGCGGGAGGTGGAGCAGGAGGAGGAGGATGAAAGCGACTGCTGGCCCCTGGCCGACAAACATGGGGTGGGTGGCCCGGCCGAGCCATCGGATCAAATGGTTTCCGACTGCATATATTGACCTGCACGTGACTGCAATGCGTGCGTGCGTGCATGCATGCGTTCCGGCCGTCTGATGCTGTGCTGGCCAGAGTGTGGCCTCGGTCACTCTTCTAATGCCGTGCTCCGTCATTCCCTCAGTAATAAACCTAACCCATGGTTTAGACCATGAACCCCATCCCCTGACTATTTTAGTAGTTATGGATGGTAGTGGACGAAGGCAGACTCGGCTCGGTTACTGCCGTGAGCATTAGGTCGAGTGCCACCAACTTGTCGTAAAAGGTTCCTCACTCGATCGCTTGCTCCCCATACGAAGACGAAAAAAGCCTCGTCAGGTCTACCAGAACTTTGAAAGAGCAATGGGACAAAGGGAATTTTCCACGCCGACATTTTCGAGTATATATATAGTAGGGTGCTTAAGACCTACAGATTCCAGTCTAACCTGTGCTTTTCCAATTCCAAACCCCATTTTCCACCTTGCTTTTATCGACCACGCACGCATGGATTTTGCTTTTAATTTCTCCTCTACGCGAAGGAGGAACTCTCGGTGTTCCGAAAAGCTGAGGAGGGAGAGCTCCGTAGGTCGAAGCGGCATATTCTTCGGTGAACACATGCAGTACTTACTGTGATTTGATAAAAGTGCTTCGAGTAGATAATGTGGGATGATGGACGGAAGCCAACCTAACGATGGTCCATACGGGAGCCACCAGTTGTTTTGAGAGAGAGAGAGAGAGAGAGAGAGAGAGAGAGAGAGAGAGAGGTGGGTCCCACTCCGCATCGACCCATAACTCAAGGTTAATTAACTGGCAACGCCTAAACCCTGGGTTCTGGCATTAAACAAACCCCCAAATGGCATCGCCACCCAACGCTGCGGTGTTACATCCGATATCACCACCGCGGAGCATCTCTCTCTCTCTCTCTCTCTCTCTCTCTCTCTTTCCTTTTATTTTATGCACCAGCTTCTTCAACTCCTCTCTCGCCATCCATCGTCTCCCTACCTGGATAGCCCCTCCCTTTCTTTCTCTGCAAACCATCGAGCCTCGTTCTTTCCATATGTACGTGGCTGTCTCCTGCAGCTAGCCCTCTTGGTTCTTCCCTTGGGCTGCCCTTGTCTTTGCTTTCTTCTTTTCTCCCTCGATCGTTTCTGCTTGAACACTTAAAAAAAACAAAAAACCCTCCCCTTTTAATATAAATATATAAAATATATATGTGTATATATGATTTTCAGAGGCTTTCCTCACTCTCTCCAATTTTTTTTCTTCTTTTTGTAAGCTAACAAAACAGTGCTGCTTATTTTTTTTTCTTCCTCCTTCTCCTCCTCTCATCTTATTGTTTTTGTTGGATGAGGTTATGGCTGGTCTGGATCTAGGCACCGCTTCAAGGTACGCCCACCATCTCTCCCACCGTCCCGGCCTTCACCTTCGGCACCACCACGACCCCGAGTCCGACGACCAGAACGATGGCGGTGACAGCAGTAACAACGGGCACAGCCAATTCCGCAGCTCTGACCGCGAGGGCTCGGCGACGGACCAACAGGGACTCGAGCCGGTTGCGGCAGGCTCCGGGCCCGGGGACGTCGTGGCCCGGCGACCCCGGGGAAGGCCACAGGGCTCCAAGAACAAGCCCAAGCCCCCGGTGATCATCACCCAGGAGAGCGCCAACACCCTCCGGGCACACATCCTTGAGGTCGGGGCTGGGTGTGATATCGTCGAGTGCATCGCGACGTACGCTCGCCGCCGGCTGCGCGGGATCTGCGTCCTCAGTGGCAGCGGCACCGTCTCCAACGTCACCGTCCGCCAGCCGTCGACGGCCGGCTCCGTCGTCACTCTCCATGGCCACTTCGAGATCTTGTCGCTGTCGGGGTCCTTCCTCCCGCCGCCCGCTCCCCCTGGAGCTACTAGCCTCACCATCTTCCTCGCAGGAGGCCAGGGGCAGGTCGTCGGTGGGAACGTCGTCGGTACGCTCTTCGCAGCAGGGCCAGTGATCGTGATCGCTGCCTCATTCACCAACGTCGCCTACGAGCGGCTGCCGCTCGAGGAGGAGGAACCACCGCAGATGCAGATGCAGCCGCCAGACCCGCAAGGGTCGGGAGGAGACGGCGGGAGCGGGACCAGCGGTGCAGGCGGCAACACGTTCTCGGACCCGTCCGGACTCCCCTTCTATAGCTTGCCGCTTAACATGGCCAATAGCCAGCTTCCGGTGGACGCGCACGGGTGGCCGGCGGGCGCGCCTGGTCGGTCCCTGTTCTGATACGAATGCTGCAATCGCAAATCGAAACGACTGCCAAAAGAGATTTATAATTCCACGGGGAGATGGATGGCCGAATCATGGATGACTCGATGCTGCGGCGGGCATGCAGCAGCAGCAGAAAAGGTTAGCATGCAAATCCAAAAATTTCAGTGTACAATTACTTTATTTTTCTTTTATTTTTCGTGTCTCGCTTTCTTAGATTTTCCATGTCGTCTTATCTCCTCCTCATTTTCTTTGCCTCATTTCCTTCAGATGTTGTTGTTGTTGTTGTTGTTGTTGTTCATGGAAACTCTCTTTTCGTAAGCGGTATTGGGTTTGAGACCACGGCACGGCCTTATACAACACTTTTGTTCTTTGTTCTATCATCAGCAACTCCATCGCTTCATTTCTAAACATAGATAGCCCTCGAAACATGTACTCGTTCCATATTTGGCTCTCCTACCTGAAGGGGAAAAAAGAGAGGAGAGAAACCGAACAACTGATCGAGTCCTATGACAACGAGGAGACATGAAGAAAGTAGAACAACAAGCTCCTCCTCACCTTCTTCGATCAGAACAACTACGAGGTTGGTCCCGATAAAATCTTTGCACATTCGGAGTCCGTCGATCGAGTTCACGCCACGTTTGGCTTCACATTTACGATCGGTTCCTTTTGTCTTCCTGCACTGAATTAAGAAATCAGAAAGAACACTGGTAGTGCCTAATCTCATGGCCAAGTTTTCTTTCACCAACTTGCTGCTAATGCCCATGATGTTATATTTACGATCGGTTGCTAAAACTCTATTATATCCGGAAAATTCTCAGAGAGGAGATCGTACTTACTCTTAATATAGTTCCTTGCTCCGAGCTTTTTCTTGCTGTACCTAATATAATTATGTGTTTTTACAGTCTTAATCTGATCTGTCGTGTGAATCTGCACTGAGAGATGTCGTTATGTTAGGTATCCATAATTCATATGAAGCAATAATTCCATATTATATGAACTACCAATCCTCCTCAAGCAAGAAAAAGCCCTAAAGACATCTCCAACATGACTCGGAACCAAACCCGATACGATGACGATTGATATCCAATATGGCGGCAAATAAGGCTGCTTTTTTTTTCATTAGCATTTAATCTGATTTATATCTGGGGGTGTTGAGCTCGGTGTCGATCACATGCTCTACTTTGTCCTCCATCGCTAGTTAATTCCATTAAAAATCAATCAAGCAAAATGTCGTGCAGTTGTATTGTGTGATTTTCTATGTCGCACTTCCCTGCACTGTCTCGGCATTTTGTCGACGTCCGATGGCATCGTTTTGTTTTCTTCTACGATGGAGGTCGAAGTCGCATCACGAGTGATAGCTGGATGGCACTGTTGATGCAAGTTTTAGTGTTCGTCACTGCTTTGCGAGCTCTAATCATCCACTGGGTTGAAGCGCTTCCATCATCTCACGTTCTTGTTTCGCTAACTCGGAAGATGCATCTTTACAAGGAGTCCACCTTCGTCTCGGACTCGAGAGGTCTCTTCGATGCTATCTTTGATCGCCCTTACCTGTTCTTCTTTCGAGTTCCTAAGACGATAGAGGGTTCGAGTTTGCTCCTGAAACCTCTTACCGACTTTTCTTTCTCCCGCGTGCCGATCTCCAGAAATGATTTCATATGTCTCGTCGTCTATCGCGATCGGGCGATTCCAAATGAAAACCTTTTATCTCTAACATCATATGTTTCGACACAAATATACAAACAAACAAACTAGATGAACACCAATCGTAGCAGCATGCAGTGTAGCCTTCATGACGATAAAAAAGAGTTAATATTGCTTCCGGTAGAGCGGCTCATAACTTTCCGTGCTACCGAAAGGATACACTGATGGGATATAAAAATAAAATAAATTTTTATATATGATAAATATTAACAGAGCAGTTAAATTAAATGGACTTTCCAAGGATAAAAAGTATAAGATAAATAAGACATAATCTACTATAAGAATAATGAAAATATAAATCTAATAGTCTTTTGCCCAAAAACCAAGCAAATCTCAAGGGAATAATTGGGATACAAGGATTTCCTTCTCTTCTCTTGTTTTTCTGTCCTTCCCTCCTCTTTTTTGAATCACGTTGTTGCTGTAGTTTTTTTGCCCCTTCTGCTATAGTTTTCTGCTTCAATCTCATAGCCACCACACCCCCCTTATTTGATCTAGGGTTTTCGTTGAAAGGGAGATAGGCTATGGGCTGTTAAAATTCACTATGGGCTGAATTTATAGGTTGTCAGCCCAATAACCTTCCCCTTCAACCCATAAGGGAGGTTGTCTCATGAATCCTCAATGTGAAGTTATGCTAACCAGTTGTTGGCATATCTCCGGCCTTTCTTTTGGTATGGTCTTTATCAATATGTTTGCTCCGTTATCATCTGTGTGAATTTTTTAAAATTGCAACTGTTTCTCTTCAAGTACATTTCGAATCCAGTGGTATCTGACATCTATATGCTTTGACTTGGAATGAAAAGTTTGGTTCTTACATAAATGGATGATACTCTAGCTGTCACAATTCACCACATAGTTTTCTTATTTCAGTCTTAATTCTTGTAAGAATTTTTTCATCCATAATATTTCTTTGTAAACCTCTATAATAGTAAAATATTTTGCCTCCATGGTGGAAAGAGTAATATACATTTGTAATCTGGATTATCATAACATAACTCTCCCTGTAAAAGTAAGTACATGATTTAGACTTTCTCGTATCAATATCTCTTATCATATCTGCATCTATGTAACCTATCAACACAGGTGGTCCACCTCCAAAGCTTAAACAAACCTTAGAGCTCATTCTGAGGTATCTAAATGTCCACTTTACTACTTCCCAATGCTCTTTGCTTAGATTTGCAAGAAATATACTAGTAACACCCACTGCATATGTGATGTCCGACCTCGTACATATCATTACATATATTAAACTTCCAACTATTGAAGCATAAGGAATATTTTACATTTTCTCCTACTCCGATGAACTCTATTCTGAGCACAATTTGAAGTGACTTACAAGAGGAGAACCAACTGCCTTTGCATTACTCATACTGAACCTTTCCAATACCTTCTCAATGTATTTCTCCTGTGACAACCAAATCTTTTTGGTTTTTCTATCACGAGAAATATGCATGTCTAATATTTGCTTTGCTCGCCCCATGTCCTTCATTGCAAAATAGTCACTTAGTTCTTTCTTCAACCTATCAATTGTAGATATATCTTTCCCAATGATAAGCATGTCTTCAACATAAAATAAGAGAATAATAAAATTCTCACCAAACCATTTGATGTATACACAATGATCTGAAGTCGTTCTTTTGTATTCATTTTCAATCATAAATGAATCAAACTTTCTGTACCACTATCTTAGAGCTTGCTTTAACCGATACAAGTTCTTCCTCAATTTACAAATAAAGTTCTCTTTACCTTTGACTTTTAAGCATTCTGGTTGCTTCGTATAAATTTTTCCTTTAAATCATCACGAAGGAAAGTTGTCTAATCATCATGAAGGAAAGTTGTCTTTACATCTAATTGTTCAACCTCCAAGTCCTAGCTAGCAACAATACCAAGAGTAACACAGATATAAGATATTTTAATAATAGGAGAAAAAATATCTTCAAAGTCAATACTTTTTTTTTTCACCAAAGGCTTTCACAACCAATCTAGCTTTGTACTTTGGTTGAGAACAATATTATTGAGTCTTCAATCTAAAAACTCATTTGTTTTTCAAGGTCTTCATTCCCTTTAGTAGTTGCACCAAATCATAAGTGTAGTTATTTTGAAAAGCATCCATCTCTTCTTACATAGCACTAACCATTTTTTTATTTATTTACTTTCAATTACTTTATGATAACTCTTTGGTTTACGTGCATCACGTACTCATCTATAGTATATCTTATAAAAGATTAACATTATCTAAAAGATAATAATAATAATAATAATAATAATAATAATAATAATAATAATAATAATAATAATAATAATATCTTCCAAACCCATAACATTCAGCTCGTCATCGTGCCACGGGTATCCATCCATTGGAATTCAGACTGTCACAGGCATTGCTACGTACATGAGTTGACACGTGGGTGTTCCAAAAAGACCTCCTGATATTGATATGATATCCATCGCCCCTCGCAGCGGCGATTGACGGTTGCGATGAAACCGAAGAAAAAAAATATAGAAACGAACGGACTCTCTTCATTTTATTATTGTTTCTTTTAGGAAGAAAACAAACACCCGCAACTAAACGAAGACCATACATGGCAACAGGGGTGTGATCCCGCTCCTCTCTCTCGCCCTCGCCATCCGATTGCGGTCTGGTTGTACAGGTATCGGGTCATTTCTCCTCCTCTCGCTCGGTCTCTCTATTCCTTTGCCTCGTGATGGTGACCGATCATCTGATTTCTTTACTTGATCGAGAAGGGGTTTCGGAGATCGTCATGGCGTCCTCCGACGACTCGACCAACGACGGGGCCGATCAGGTGACTCCTACGAACTCTTCGCGAGTCGTTGTTAATCTCTTTTGTTGTCTCATCTTGTGATCCCAAGAATCGTCTAAATGAGGCAAACGTGGAACCCTCTTGTTGGATTCTTGTATGCTCGTTGTTGTTCTCTGTGTGTTGCTGTTTGATTGTATTATCTTTCTCAAGCCGCAAGAGTCACATGAAAGGGGTTGCGGCGAAACCCCCATGTCCGATTCTTGTACCTCTCTTTGTAGCTCATCGACTCCGTTCTTTTCCTGAAATTGCGAGAGTTATCTGAGAGGATTTGGATGGAACCCCCTCTGTCGGATTCTTGTCTTTCTCTGTTACTAATTTATGATAAGGATGTCGTGTTTGGACTTTGCCAATCCAAGAAGGTGAAACTCTTATTTGGTAGTGAAAGAGTCCGAGTGGATTGCTAGTTCGTCTTATCTTAGATCTGGTTCCGCTTTCTTGAAATTTGTCAATTATGTGCGGTTCTTCCGTAAGATTAGTTTGTCATTCATCGAAGTATCCTTGATCTGTGGGAATACGGTGACCGGTGAAGAGATGTATAGCAGATTTTGGAATGATTTACGATTTCTTGTTCTTTGAAAATATGGGTGGTTCGAGATTTGAATACAGGGATCGATGCAAGAGGCAATCGAGACGGTTCTGTAATTTGTCTTACCATGTACCCTCTGGAATCCAATGATGTGGGCTGAAACTTACAAAAATCCAAAAGGTGGTTTGTATAAATAAGTAAATTTCAGCCAAAAAACTAGTTCCAATATCAGTGTTCTTTTGAAATCTGTGAAGCAGCATTGGTTTCCATAAAATCTGTTTGTCATGTGGTGATTGATCCTTGTTCTATGAAGGGCACTGATACCAATCAAGAGATCTGTACTAGGTATTGTGATCATAACTTCTTGTGCTTTGAACAAATAGATGGCTTTGGCTTGAATACAAGGGACCAATACAAGAGTCTCCCAACAAAAATCCATATTTTACCTCATTTTCTCATCTGGTGTACTGCAAACCATGTGAAAGACTTTAAGCTTAGTGCAAAGTCACATGATATCTCATTCGCTGTGTTTTTGCTTCCATTCTGAGCACCAATTATTTCCCTTGCTCGCTTGCTTCCAGTGGTGTGCTAATCAATTATGTAGTTGCATTTATGCTTGCAATTAATCTCATTGTAGCCATGCAGGTAAGTCAGTGGGATAATCATTAGTGTTGCATTTGTCATGTCATCGTCATCAGGCTTCTAGAGCTTTACACTAATGATCATCGGATGCCCTTTGAGATTAAAAGAAAAATTTTATAAGACAATTGTGAGACCAACAATGTTTTATGGATCTGAGTGTTGAACAGTGAAGAAACAATAAATACAAAAGGTTTGTGTTACCAAAATGAGAATGCTGAGATGGATGTATTTAGGAAGCCTTCAGATGTGATAGTCAGAAGAGATAAAATGATTAATGTTAGTAGCACGAGAAGAGATAGAGGAAGACCTAAAAAAAAAATAATAGAAACTATAAATAAAGATTTAAGTACTTCGAACCTAACTAAGCACATGACTTTTTACATATTTCAATGGCGGCAAAGGATTCATATTGTCGAACCCAAATAGTTGGGACTTATGACTTTATTGTTGTTGTTGCTTTCCAAGATATCCATGTCGTGCGTCAATTATACGGTCATAAAAAATCAAATCTTGCCTTTCTTTCCTTGATTAAACTTCAGGGGTTTATATGATTCTAAGTGATCTCTCTTCTTTGTGTTGATGGTAACACCTAGAGGTCGATCATTGTATTAAACTGTTTATGTTCATCTTGCAACTACGTTGAATTTAGGATTACATATAGTGAAAACTCAAATTTTGAATTTTCTTTTATGTATGCCAATTCTTCCTCAAATGTCCATGTTACTTAACAACACAAAACTTGTTGTTGTTGTTGTTGTTGTATACTTCATGATAATTGTGTTTGTGAACAATTTAGTTAAAGGAAAAAAAGAAAATCTGCAATGATGTATAAGAATTATTGATCGCAATATACTATATGTTTATGAATTGTTTTTGTAAATTGATAGTTGCTTTGAGCTGCTTCCATCATTTTTTGTTGGTGATCAACTTTACCTGCCCTTTTGTGTTTTCATATACCTCGTTTTACTATTGTTTCATATTAACTGGTTGTTTTGTGAATGCAATTTTTTTTGTCACTACATCTCTTGCTGTTTTCTAGGTTTTGACTGAAGAACGTGGGTACACAAGATTATTGACACTTAATAGGCCTCGACAATTGAATGCTCTCTCTTTTCCGATGGTATGTCATGATGATTGGCCATCTATGTTGTTTTATAATTGTATAATGCCTATCTACAGAATGAAGCATACTTTGTGTATGTTTGATAAGCATACACAAAATGGAATGCTAGCTTAAAACTTTACAGGTTTCTGTTCCATCATTCACTTATTTTGTGATTCTTTGTTTTGCTAAAAAAATGCTGTATATATATATATATATACATATATATATATATACATTATACATATACATATATATATATATATATACATTATACATATACATATATATATATATATATATATACATATATATATACATATATATATATATATACACATATATATATATACATTATACATATACATATACATAAACATATATATACACATATATATGTATATATATTCTTTTTGTTTGTGTCATCACTGTATCAGGTATTTGATTAGGAAACTATAGCATAGTCATCAGATACATCTCTTTCTTTGTTACTGGTTATGACTATTGCAGTTATATACCTTTGCATACCTGACAGTGTGAGAGTATATTGTTCCTTAGAACTCATCATCTAGACAGTGTTAACTTTCTCAAATTTTGTCCATAATCTATGTTGAAATTAACTGATGATTTTCCAGATTATGCAACTCCTCAACAACTTAATTGCTTATGAGAAGGATCCTGAAGTCAAATTATTGATATTGAAGGTAACTATCAATTCATAAAACCCTAAATCCATCAGGGAATATTGATTTTGTTGCACCAGCATTTTTTTGATTGCTATCCATGTTTCTTTAATTCCATCTGCTTCATATAGTCTATTTGATGGTAATGACTTGTTAACATGCATACCAATTTCAGTGGAAACATCTGAGGATGACTGCTAAAGCTCACTTTCATGACTAAAGTATCAATTTCAGTGCTCTTTTGAACTTCCCTGTTGTTCAACAGTTCTTATTAGATGATATGTCAACTTACTGCATGTTTTTGTTAAATGTTATCACAGTTTCATTTGAAGTGAGGATATAATGAATAGTTAATTTCTTTTAGCTGTCATTTATTTCAGTATAATGTTACATGTTCTTGTGACTCACTGTCACTCTTAAATATATTGTTGCTACTTACTGTCAGTTGGTTTATATATATCATTCTGTATATTCCTGTATGCATGTGAAAATGCTTGTCTATGTGTCTATGTGTTCGGGTGTGCATCCATGCTTGTAATGCAGGTGCTTGTTTCCCCATGCACATATACAGAGATGACCAATTAATGATTTTAGGGAAGAGGAAGGGCATTTTGTGCTGGAGGAGATGTTGCTGCAATCAGCCGTTCTGTGACAGAAGGTAAATTTAATTATCTAATTTACCTTTTCATTTTGCAACTAATCCAATTCAATTGATCAATATGGTGACAAGGGGACTTATATGTCTCTCTTTTGGCCACCAAAATGATTACTAAGTAAAATCTTGACTCTTATGTCATCTGCTTTTCTGTCAGCCATGCTCTGGACACTGCTAAAAATTTCTTTTATATTGTTTATACCTTTGGGCTCCCTCTTTGTACCATCTCAACTAATTAATAACTGTTCTATTGTACTTGATCTCAATCTAAAAGTGAAAGATATTTTGTATAAGCTAGGTGGTGGAAGTTTAGTTGATCTTAAATGGGATACTAGAAGTTAAAGATTTATTTAACAATCACTTTTTACTAAGATATTGATAGTAAAACTTTTTCTCTTGGTACTATTAACAACTAAATGACTTTTTGTCTTTTTATTACTGGTGTCTAAATTTTAATGAAGCTAAGGTCACAAGTAACAGGGCGAGCGTTGGTGCCCCAATAACATTATTTGTTTATGACCTAGATGACCAGAGTTTGAGTTGCGAAATTAACATCCTTGTTTACAAAGACACGGTTCTATACATTGATCCTCCCCAGTCGTTGCATTGGCAAGAGCCTTTTACATTGGGCCACCCTTTTCTACGATCACATTCCCAGTTATGCATTCAAGTTTTGTACTTGCTTGAACCTTTTGCTATGTGCTTCTTGGTTTCAAGTTGTAGAACTAATACTATGTTTTGTTATTTCATGCTAATTAAGTACATTATTTGATGCCATGCTTCAGGTCATTGGACTTCGGGTGCACAAATTTTCTGGAATGAGTTTATCTTGAATTACATAATTGCAACCTACAGCAAACCACAGGTGACTTGGGTGGAACTTCTTAAATACCTGTGACACTTTATCATAAGCATTTGAAACTCATTATATTAGTCAAAATGGAACTTGGGAGGAAGGTTTCTATTCTCAATGGAATTGTCATGGGAGGTGGAGCTGGTCTTTCTATACATGGGAGATTTCGAGTTGCCACAGAGAAAACGGTACAACCTCTTTATCTTTGTTTTTGAATGTTTTTTACAAATCTGAATCAACTTAGCTTGTCATTATTTTTAGTGCTTATTCTTTTTCAAACTCAGTCATGATGAAGTTGTTAGGATCGGAGCGGCACTAAGAGGGGGGGGTGAATTAGTGCAGCGGTG